AGTGCAGCCAGGATACAAAAGCTGGTCTTTCCAGTTTCAGAGTTGGTCATTTTACAGGTTGTGTCAGATTGTTCCCATTCCATGATTTTCACCATTATAATAAACAAGTGTGAGTCATTTGTTAAAAAAGAGGAACCATTAGTTTGGGACCGGAAGAATGAACTGGATATTACCCACGCTTTGCTCCTCACAGGAGAGGAAGTCCGGCTCCTTCCTTCAGCTTTTGTCTGTCGTGTCCCTCTTCCTAGCATCTGGCAAGGAGGAACCGCCAGTCTGACTTGGCGAAGATCAGGACATCCACTGGGCTTCATTTCCCAAGTGTGCAGTCACTGTGCATTAAATGTGTACTTGGCTACCTGGTAGGGACTACTTTGGTGAAGATTTATGATTTATCTCCTTTAGGGAAATCCAGTCGGCCTTTTTCTTTTGGCTCTACTGCTTCTGTGCTTGCACCTGAGAGAGGAGGTCAGTTTGGGGCTTCTGCAGGTAGAGCTTAGAGTCTAAGGGAAGGAAGCAGGGAGACCTGCTTCAGCCACCAGACCCGAGTTTTGCTTTCTTTGTCTTTACTAGTCCTGCATCGAGGGTAGCTGGGTACTGGTCCATTTACTAATAAGTTAGTAGATGTACATTGGTATTTTGTGTCTCTTTTGGCTAGTTTTCTTGGGTTTACAGCTGCCTTGGTTTGGAATCCTGAGAAGGGAAGGCATAAACAAGAGGTAAGACATCCCTAAGTCCTAGCCTAATAGAATCTAATACCCTTAAGATGTCGGGTTGCCCATAACAAGTATAGAGATTGAGTCAGTAACTTAAAAACCACCCACAAAGGGAAGTCTAGGCCCAGATGGCTTCACCATTGAATCCTGTCAAACATTTATAGAAGAATTAGTAACAATTCTTCAAGAATTGTTAGAATTATTCACAAGGAACACTGTTCAACTGACTCTATGAGGCCAGTATTATCGTGATACCAAAACCAGGAAAAGACATCACAAGAAAGAATACTAAGGATCAATATCTCTTATGAATATAGATGCAAAAATCCTCAACAAAATAATAGCAAACTTTATCCAGCGATATTTTAAAAAAGGATTATACAATATGACCAAGTGGGCTTTATCCCAGGAATGCAAGGTTGGTTTCACAAGAAATTAATATAATATACTACTTGAATAGAATAAAGGGAAAAATCCACATGATCATCTTAATCATGTATAAAAAGCATCTGACAAAATGTAACACTCCTTCACGGTAAGAACACTCAACAAACTAGGAATGAAAGGAACTGGCTCAAATTAATACAGGATATCTACCAAAAAACCCATAGCGAACTTCATACTTGATGGTGAAAGAATGAGTGCTTTCCTCCTTGATGAGTAATAAGACAAAGACGTCCATGCCACACCTTAAACACTGTACTGGAGGGTCTAGCCAATTAGACAAGAAACTGAAAATAAAAGGCATTCAAATTGGAAAGAAAGAAGTAATTTGCAGATAATCTAATCTTGTATATATATAAAATCCTAGGGACTCTACTAAAAACTACTAGAACTAATGAAAAAGTTCAGCAAGGTGGCAGGATGTAAGAGTGTGAACTGGGCGCTTCAGGCTGGGCCAGGCATGCTCTGGAGGTCCCGAGCGCCAGGAAGAGTGGGTTGCATTTCAGACTGAGAATGGCACAATTTCTGAAGATTTCTGATCTAGAGTGACCTGTTCAGAGCTGCTATTTACAACAATTTAATTCAGCAGTCTATGTAGGATGGATTAGAGAAGGAAGACTATGGACCTCAAGCAAACTTCCATTTTTTAGATTAGAGATAGTAATGTTTAGGATAACCTACTTTTATCTTCAGTTACTCAAGAACACTATAATGAAAGCTAGGGAATCAGTAGACATATTTGTTGTATTAGATGAATAATCTATGAGTTATAACAGTCAGGCAGATAATCATATTGTCTGTGTTTCTGATGGGATACTTTCACTTCATAGGTGTTTCTTTGTGAGTAATTTTGAGTACAGCAGTTTTTTTTTTGGTTGGTTGCTATTTTGAGTATTGTTAATTTTTTACAATATTGTTAGTATTTAATGACAAGGGTATTGTTTTTTCTCTCATCCTCCAATCTCCAAGGGTTTGCTGTTCCCCAACATGGCAGCTATTTTTGCTTCTATTGAAATGCACTTCCCACTGTATAATGTCTGTTAGGGGCAAAAGAGAACTCATTTCCAGTAACAAAGTTTATATCAAACCACAGAATTTTAGAGACGAAGGAATACAGTACCCCAGAATGCCTTATGCAAGCACTCAGCCTCATATCTAAGAAGGAAGACATTCTACCACCAGTGGTTGCTCACACAAGTTAGAAATAAAATTAAAATTATTCTGCAACAAACGTCACATCTCCACAAAACTGGCTGGGACCGGAAAGAATCTAATTCCTTGGACTGTTCATCCTAATCTACGTAAATTACGATCAAAGTACTGACCTCTCCTCCAATAAAATGAGTTACTGCACACACACAACGCTATTCCTAAAATTTTCAAATTTAATTCAATAGCTCTTTATGACTTTTAAAATTAGGTCCCCACGCTCTATAGTCATTCCCCTACTTATTATACAGATTTATGATAGTAAAGCAACAACATCTCACATTCATGGACTACTTTACAGTTTGTAGAGCACTTGAACTTGTATAAGTCATCTCATTTGATTTTTTCAATTCTGTGAGGTAGCTGCCATGATTAGCTCCATTTTACACATGGGGAAGTGCAGCATCAGAGGGATTAAATGACACTTAAGATCACTGGACACAACTGGAAATCAAACTCTGTTCCAGCCTCCCGGTTCACAGGCGTTCATTTGGCAGCCACAAACTAACAAGCGTGGGGAAAACATGGGGCTAGGAGAGTTATCATCATCTGGGTCTCTGCCAACCTGGGCAACAGTCAGCTAGTGAACAGTGAACTCACAAAAACAAAAGATTCAGCCTTCTAGAAAACACTGAAGGAGTTTGCAGCTTTTATCATCCCTCTGAGGGACCTCATAAAAGCTTTAAATGACCAAATTAATTACAGATTCGGGTATGGATTCACTGATTCATCAAGAATTTATTGAGCTCTGTCTGACCAGGTGTCAGGGCTCCCAAGCAGATGCCTCAATATGAATTCCGCTCTTGGGGAGCATATCCTTTTGACCCACAATGAAGTAAGAGGTCACAGTGCGACCAGGGCACAGGGACACCGCAGAGGGAGGGATGGATTCTGCTGAGGGTAGACAGGCTGGAGCCATGTGCTCAGCCTTGCAGGATGATGCACAGAAGTGGCTGGTGGGCATTCCAGACAGAGAGGACAACGCGAGGGAAGGCACGGGGTATGGAGATGCATGTGTGGAGAGTGTTCTAGCTTCATTCTTCTCATTCTTCTTATGACTGGAGAATTTTGCTTTGTAACTCATAAAATGTATAACCAATAAAAACACTCTGGGTCAGATTAGATTTTTTTCCCCCAACAATTAATATAGTTGTTTATGATGGTGACTTAAACCTTATACAAAACTAAAAATACATATGTGATATACTTTGTTAGAGGATATGTGTATAACTTTGGGAGAAGAAATATAATTTTTTATTTTTTTATACCTAAATAATATTTGGAGATGTTATTTTCCTTCCCTCTGATTTAAGCAGATTCCATTGAAAAAATTTTCTCAGGGTAGGTATGTAACTGGGCAGAAATCAGAGGTAGACTGTATCTTTTTGGTTCTTATATTCTAAACCAAGGATTGGCAAATATTTTCTGTAAAGAGCCAGAGAGTAACTATTTCAGGCTTTGTGGGCTATATGATCTATGTCGCAACTACCCAATTCTACCCTTGTAGTGCAAAAGCACCTGCAGACAATACACAGATAAGTGAATGGGGCTGTGTTTCAATGAAACTTTATTTATGGACCCTGAAATTTGAATTTCATGTAATTTTCATGTGGCACAAGATATTGTTCTTTGATTTTTTCCCCCATCATTAAAAATGTAAAAACCATTCTTAGCTTGTGGGTCACACAAAAACAGGTGGTGTAATTGGCCAATCCCTGTTTTTAATGCCTAATGCCATTAGGAGAACTTAAGAGTGTTGTGGAGCGAGTAAAGCAAATTCACCAACATAAGCAAGTTACTTGGAAAAGCTTGGAAGGGCTTCATTTTTGGATGCTGCGCCCACCCTGGTGAGAAGAGAGAGAGATCTGTGGATCCCAGAGTGTTCTGCCATCCCCCTAACCCCAGGCTGGTTTTGTGGCCAAAATTCCAAATTCATGAGATTTCATTTGAAAATCTGGATTTTTGGTCATCTCTAGAAAATGAGCCTGCATTTTCGCATGGCAACAGCTAAGCAGAGACTGCCTTCCTAGCTGGGGCATTACTTCCTGTTCATCTTAGACCCTCCTGGTCTAAACTCTACTGTGCAGAGAAAGATCTGCACTGAAACTAGTCTTCTGGCCCTAGGGAAGTTATGTGGGTGAAGAGGAATAAAATCATATGCTTCTGAGTTACCAAGACCTAGGCTGAAATCCCAGCTTTGTTCACTGATGTAAGAGTGACCTCGGGCAAATTACTTAACCCTCAAAATGAAAACAATCATGCATAACCTGAAATGGTGGTTGTAATGATTATATGAGACAATGTATTGAAAGTAGCGAACACATTCTAAACAGTCGATAAAAAAACAAATCACTAGGATGGAGAAGTTCTGTGACGTATATCTTAATTTCAGATGCTGTCTTCATTGCTGCCTTTTGTGGAAGGGCTTAAAGGACCAGGTTACAATCTATCTCATCTTAGAGGTTAAAAAAAAAATTAAGGCCCAGAGAGATGACTGCCCAAAGCCACTTATTGGTGGTGAAACCAGGAAGAGGATGTGGCTCTCTTAATTCTTGACCTGAGGAAATTTCTCTGTAGCCCCTGACTTCACTCACAGTTCTGAATTCTTTTCATAAAAGCCTTTCATTTGATAGTCTAAAGCTCCTCTAATGGAAAGACCACTGATTCAAATCTTCTGGCTAACCTGACTAAGCTTTTAAATTATAATTTCCAAATATAGCGAAATGACAACAGTTATTAGATTTTGAAGTTCTATTAGCTATTGACGTTAGCTGAAATACTCCTGTTCCAAGCTCACAGACACCCTCATGTGGTCATGAGAAATAATGATTCCAGCCAAAGGAAAAGGAAAATCTGGAGCTATTTAGAGTCAACGATAAAGGAGAGTAAAATGAGTAGATAAGTATCAAATAACCTAATAATAAAACGTCACCCAAATTATATTCTTTTCGGCTCTGGCCAATGGCCAGGGGAAAAGTGATTTATTTATCTCAGACCAAATCTTTAAAGAGACTTAAAGATTATAATGGATGATTACTTAGGCCTTGTTCACAATACAACTCTGTTACCATGAAGAAAAATATTCAACACATGTGGTAGCTGTATTATCTCAGATCTTTGCAGATTTTCCTCCACTATCAGTGATGATGAATGACGGAGCACTCTGGGATTCTCTGAGTGCAACTGGTACGTGTTGGGGATTGGAGCCAAGGTAGTTAAACCTGGGGCTCTGTTGAAATATCTCCTATCAAACGTAAGCACAAGTCACCGAGTGGGAGCAGAAGGGTGAGGCTGTATCAGGGAGAAGCTGATGAGCTGCAAATGTTCAGGGTGTTCTGGACACCCATTCGAGAGGGTAGCTTGATGGTGAGTTGGTTAAACAGAAGTAGGTTAGAATGCTTGTTCTGTGTTAACAGGTTGATCTGTCAATAAGCAGTTCCCCAAAAAACTGTTCAAGGAAACAGTATTTGTCCCCAGTACAGAAAAATCAGTGTCAAAAGCAAGTGGATTTACTATTTGTGTCACAAAATATGGACATACTCAGAAAATAACTGAGGCATGTCAAAAGGACAAGGGAACTGGCTTGAAGGGGCTCCCACTGGCTAAATCTAGAACAATTCAAGGATTAAAATAAGTAAGAATGCCAATAGACTATAAGCTATTAAATAAAATAGAAATTCATGAGGCTATACTAACAAAAAACAGAGGGAGAGCACTTCCTTAGCTTAGAATGCCAGCAGTAAATGTAAAAGTGACAGGACTGGACAAAAATCACCATTTTGGCAACCATAGTAGTAATAACTGAGTAAAGCAAGAATCATTAATGGATGATAAAATTAATGGGTGAATGTCTGATGAGAAACAAAATATTTGCATAGTCTCAAAATGTGAGCTCACAAAACACATGCATTAATTATAAAGGGGGAAAATAGTAACTCCACAGTGGAGAAATACAGCAGAGATAATACCTTAACCAAATGTTCAAAGTTAACATCACCAGTAATGGGACAAATCGACATCTTGTGTGTCACCTAATAGGACACATTCTGAAAAACACAGCATCATTTCTGTGATATTCCAGCCAACGATGCATAAACTGAGTCTAAAATGAGAAAACATCAGATAAGCCCAAATCCGGGGATGTTCGACAAAATAACTAGCCTATACTCTTCAAAAAAGCCAAGGTCATAAAAGTCAAAGAAAGATGAGGACCCATTTTGCACTGAAAGACAACAAAGAGACATGTTAACTAAATTGTAACCCATGATCTGGATTGTTTCCTTTTGCTAAAAAAGGATGTTATTGGGACATCTGAAATTTGAATACGATCTGTGATTCAGACATTAATGCGATATCAAGGTTAACTTCCTGATTTCGAGGTCTGTATTGTGGTTACGTAGGAGAACGCTTTTGTTTTGAGGAAATACCCACTGAAGTGTTTAGAGGTAATAGTGAATCATGCCTACAACCTACTACTTGGAAGTGGTTCATGAAAAATACATATGTGGAGAGAAAGTTTTAAAAGATGTGATTAGATTTGTTGAAGAAAGACGAAAGGGTAAATTATTTGCCTCTACCTGAAAACAGAAATTATAAATAGAGCTTGGATTTGGGGTTCTAAGGGGAATGTTTTTTCTTTCTGTTGTTTTTATCATCAGCTGCCGTTGGTGAACATACGCTCTTGTCAAACTCACCAAAGATTATACGATGTAGTGAAAAACTCAGAAGTGGCTTTATTTATATATATATACATAATTTATAATTATAATATATTCATATAATATATGAATAGTAAATACAAATATAAAATAGAAATCAGTAAATACAAATACTTTATCTACCTAAATATTTCTCAAGCTGGGCTTGGGTGAGGAGAGTTATATTTGGAGTCTTGAGGTCTGTTGCTGTTTAATCTTGAGAGCAGTCATAAGCTTATTCTTACCAGAGATGTGCAGATGACTTTTATACTTTTAAGTAATTATGGGCTATAGGACAGGAAAAAAATTGTATTTTTAGTATTAAGCAAGCTGGAGTAACAATAAAGGCTGTGATTTATTACTGCGAAATCGCCCTTATAAATTTTGTTCAGGGTTCCATGGGTTAACTCAAACCAGACTCAGAACACACGCATTTGCTTCTGATATCATGTCAGGGCTTTCTCTTTCTGGGCAAGGGCTCTTACGTAAATGCAACGGCAGGGTGGTTGAGGCGACGATGACTCACAGGCAAATGCAGCACACTTCCCCTTTGGCTAGCACAAAACCCATCTAAGCTTCAGATTTTCCTACCAGGGCTCTGTAGATGCCATTGTTCTCTGTGGGGAGGGTTAGTCAACCCACACCAGCAATGTGAAATAGGGGGCCTTTAACAGCCCTTACAACAGACACATCTAAAAGGAAAAAATAATGAAAATCACCCCGTAATAGTAAGTTTTTTTTTTTTCCACTTGGGGGAAAACCCACATTGTCAAGAAAAGACTTGCCAGCTTCACTCAGAACCCTGGCGACTGGGAGGTCTCAGAAGAAAAGTGTAATTAGAATATTTATTTCTGCCCTATATGCACTTAGAAAACCAAGCATACATTTACGAGGTATTCACTCTAGGAATTAAACAGAAGATAAAATTAGCGGATGCTATATATCATCCTTGGCCTGATTATCCTCATTTTGCATTCGGTAAGAGTCTTGTTGTATGAAAGTTATGCTGAGTGCAAAACAAGATAAACCTAATGCGTCTTGGCCTCCAGGAAGCCCTAACCTAGAACTAAGTCATCAGCTGTCACCTGGAAGGTAGTTGTCAAAATTATGGGGGAAAAAAGTCATGTGGTCGTTTTTTGCTTTTTCAGTATTTCTTTCAGGGTATTTCCCTTATTCCTGACATGTGGCTCAGATGGGACTGACATGGTCCTCACTCATCTCAAACCCTAGAAGTGGAGACATGACCTAGGTCTGACCAGTGAAGAGGATGCCACCACTTTGGTCACAGTGATCGGTTCAGAGGTGGGCATGTGATGTCACAGGCCTATGGAACACTTCTGAGGGGCTTCTGCTGAAATGACTGGCGAAGACCTGCCCCTTTGGCTGGGAGTCCCAGCTACGAAAACCATGTCGTGCGTGGTGCTACCAGGGCCATCTTGGCCACCAGAGGGAGACGGATTTGCAAGAGTAAAGCCACCTCAGAAAAAGCTCAGCCAAGAGGAGAGAGTCTGGGTCCTGTGACACAAGTTGAGCCCTCGGTTTGAGGTGAACCTAAGGTCTGGGGACTTCTTGCTTATACATCTGCCAATAAATTCCTTTTGTAGTTTAAGTGAGTGTGAGCTAAATTTTTGTTACTTTTTATACCTTTTATTTTTGCATAATCTGGAATCACACGGAATAAAATGGAGGGAAATTATTCTTCAAAGGGATGGAGGGAAACTATTCTCTTAACTGAAAGCTTAACCCTAGCATTCCAAATATATTCCCTAAAGTCATAAAGGCCATGCAACAAGGCTGTACCATGAGTCAGATTAGAATTACATAAGGTTCTTGTCCTAACAGATCTACTACACAGAGTGGTGAATTAGAGCAAAGAAAACCAGGGACACAGAGACTGGCAACTTACTCAAGTATTAAAAGATTTTGAATACATTTAGGGACTATTAGGTTAAGCAAATTAAAGAAGTTTCTTTATTGGGACTTCTCAAAGCCAGATGTTTACTAACTGTAATTTCCTCTCTAAAAGTCTTCTAGGTTATACAGTGTTTTCCAACGGCTCGAACATGGATTCTTTATTAAGAAGCACTCTGAGAGTATGCTTTTGGAAACATCTGACTATATGTATTTCTAAAAATATAGCTTATCTGTCCTGATCATTTTGCTCCATCTCTCTGTTCTCCTTAGCATCGAACCATTTTCATGGTTTCAGTGAAAACCTCCATGCTAAAGGTCACTGGAACTCTCGCTAGCTTAAAGTTCTAGTCCAATTGTTAATTTCCAAATACTGACTGCACACTGTCAATGGACTCTCTCACCACTACCTCAATCTCAGCATATTTAAAATACCTTAACCCTATCTCCTTTCCAACTTTCTTGATTCCTTCAACGATCTGCCATTTTGCCAGACATCCAAGCTAGAAACGTGCAAAATGTCTGCTTCTATGTCCCATATTCAGCCTTTCTCCATGGACTCACACCTGGTCATGACCTTGGCCTCATGGTTGCCCTGCTTCACTCAGGGTTCTTTTCCAGAACGCACACCACCACCAAGTCCATCTTCCTAAAACAGCCTTTACTTCATATACTTCCCCTGTTCTATGATCTTCTGTAGCTCCCAGGCAAAGGGAACCTAAAAATCTCACTGGGCCTTCATGCAGCCTGGTTTCTCTTGTTCAGGTGACTCCTTATTGCACCATTCTCCCAAAGACACCATTTGTTGCAGTTAAGTTTGTCTTACAATATTCTACAGATGCGCTTAAGACAAACCAAGGGTCTCTGCGGTGAGCTTCCTTTCAACTGCTTTTCATCATTTTTAAAAATTTTTACTTTTTTAAATGGAGGTACTAGGGATTGAACCCAGGACCTCGTGCATGCTAGGCATGTGTTCTACCACTGAGCTATACCCTCCCTCTTCAACTGCTTTTAAAAATGTCCTGTGCCAGCAAGACCATGCTGAATCCTAAACCACACCCTGTCTTCTGAAATCCCCCAGCCTGTGTGTTTCTGGCAGTCCCAGGCTCAGCTCTTACTCCCGCCTCTGCTCTGGTGTCCACTCCTCGGTCTCCTTGGGAGAGCTGGTATTGAAACTGGATTTGCCCTCCGGGCTTTGTGCTTGCATCACATTGGCTGTGATGTTTGTTCACTGCTCCTCTGGTGTCCGCACTTACGTCACTCCTGGATTTGTGGTGATCCGAGCACAATTCTTTCTCTTATTAAGGAAATACACAGTGCTCACTTGTATCCATGCCTGTGGTCATTTTTTGGGGGAGTGCCTGGAATGCCCTTCCCTCTCCTTTGGAACTATCCAAGTACACAAATAAAATAAAAGTTCATCCCAAGCCCCATCTCCTTTGCTTATGAATTTCATCTGCATAGGCGCCTCTCC